AAAATACCAGTGATTTCCAAACATTTCGAACAGAGACCATTGATAGGCCTCAAATCTTAAAAAACAGAAACAAAACAAACAAAAATCCCAACACACCTAAATAATGAATGCACTATGTTATATAACACGGTTCAACAGATTCCTTTAGCAATTTTGACCATGTAGACACCTAATTTATGTGTAAATCAATTTGAAAATCATGTTCTCTAGAAATTTTGTAAGCAAGAAATGTCTTTGTTTCTAGAAAAAAAAAAAAAAAAGGCAAATCTACCACTGAAGTCCTTACTTGCCTTCTGATATGACAGACCTAAACTAACTAGCCACAAAAAACCTGAACTATTTCTATGAACATCCTGCTGTGTCACAGTAATCAAGGAAAATGTGCAAAGCCAATTCATGTTGTCTTTGTATTCTCTCCTCCATCAGTCAACGCTGGTGAAACATCCCAAAGAACCTCCTCCCTTCCACCCTCTTACACCCTCCCACCAGCAATATCATTGCGGCAAAAAAACAAAGGAGGGGAGAAGGAAATGGGGGGAAAAAAAAAAGTGCACACACTAAAAATGAAGGACTGTTTAAGAACTTTTACATCTTAAGCTTTTAGACTCATTTCCAAAATTAGCAAGTATGGCTTGAATAAGAATTGTGCTATAAATGCCAACGATAATTAAGTTAACTTCAGTACTTGAGTATTTTTTAAAAAACATTTAAAGTGTGTATATTTAGGAGGTGTTACAGTAATTCTTGATAGGTATGTATAACATATGTATAACCACAGCAGCTCTGGAAGATCTTGGTACCGCAATTTACCATAAACAAGATTACTTCCTTGAAAGCTCTCTAGTACTTTGAAACACACCTGCTTATCAATTTTCCCAATATTTTAATAGATATTTCAGTTCAAGCCAATGAGTCAGAATAAAAACTGCGAACATTCCAGTAAAATTTGGTTGCAGTGTATTAGGGTTTTACTTTCACCTATGTTTTCTGTACTGTGTCTCCCTCCACAGCCCCACACACAAGTACGTGCAAAAAGCCCATATCGACTCTCTGAAACTCATCACTTATTGATCTACCATTTTGCGATATTGAGCCTGTGTCCATATAATGATACCCAACAGAGACCACTCTAACTGGACAAGGCATGGAATTAACAGTAATTAAAAAAAAAAAACAACCCTCCCAAAAACCAGACTCACGCACAAAAAACCCAAACAAACAAAAACAAAACAAAGGAAAAAAAAAACCTCAACCCCACACACCAAACCCTTAAACACATGTTATCTTCTATCCACATATCAAACTACTAGATAATATTGGAGGAAGAGAGGTCAAGTGACTAAAGCCGCAGAAGTTTGCGGCAGAATCAAGACCGGAAACCACATATTATATATTACTAACAAACCAGAAGGGAACATGCTGCTTATTCTCAAAAACAACCCTGAAGACCTAGTCAATCAAGACTCCCACATTCTTTTTAAATACTTATTTTAAACATAAACAGAAGTGACTGATAGCACAATAACACTCATATCTTAAACAGCTGGGTATGCCTAGTAAGGTTGGGGATGTTTTTTCATTCATTTTTTATTGTAAATCTTTCTGTACTTACCTGACAGAACCTCAGCCCAGGACTTCAGAGTTCCATTTCCCTGCTACAGTTGATGACACCAGAACACTATAAAGAAAGCACGGAAGGAGGCTCCCTGGAGCAACTAAAACAGTGCTAATGATGTCATCAACATTCTGAGGTGGAAAGATCTTAATGACCATCTTAACTTCAGTTTGTAACATTTCTAATGAAGATTATTTATACAGTATCCATAAGATTAAGACTGCCTAAATTTGTCCTCTTCACCACCACCACCTCCAAAAAAAGCCCATTGCAATGGATTGTTCATATGTGTAACCCCATTCTGAGTGTTCAGAGACCACACATTCCTTTTAACCTGTTCAAAACAGAAGTCATTGCTGTATTTTTGGGAGGAAGTGATGGCTAATCACTCCCCACAGAAACAGAGTTCTAGAAGCAAAGAATCATAGAACAGCCCAGGTTGGAAGGGACCTCGAAAGATCATCTGGTCCACCCTTTCAAGGGAAAGGGAGCCTAGATAAGATTATCTAGCACCCTGTCCTACTGCATCTTTAAAACTTCCAGCAATGGGGGACTCTATCATGTTCCTGAGGAGGTTGTTCCAGTGAATGATTGTTCTCACTATTAAAAAATAAATAAGTAAATAAAAAATTCCTTTCTCATATCAAGATGAAACTTCGCCCAGCGCAACTTGTACCCGTTGTCCCTTGTCTTCTCCAAGTGGCTCTTTGGGAACAGAGAGCCTCCATCCTCTTTGTAGCTGTCCTCTAATATGGGGAGAAATCATTGCAATAAACCCACTATTGAGAACAGTTTTTTCCCTGGAAATTCTGTCGTCTTTCTTGAGAATCAAAGGAATCGTATGGGAGAAAAAATTCCTGAGGTGCCAAGAACCAACTCTTCCACAGGAATTAATTTGAATTAAAGGAGCTCAGGAACTCTCAGTATTTTACTCCTAAATTATTTCTCATTTAGATGTTTAATTGCTGCACTCTTCCCTGATTTCTATTTGTAAACAACACTGGTATTTGTTTTTCCCCTTTGTCTTAACATTGTACCCATCACCAAAACTGGACTGAAACTGCTTATAGGCAAACATATGCTTTAGAGTACAGATTTTCTTGTTTCCGAGTGACTTAACTAAACCAAAATTAATTTTACAATGCCAGGTCATACAAATAACCAGTAGGCAATAAGTAAAACAAAAATAAATAAATAAATAATAAAATAAATAAAAGAACAAGCACACGTGTTTTAAGATTTCCTCAATTCTCCATAGAAGAAATTTGTATTTGCAGTCTTTAAAGACTAAGCTATTTGAGAAAGGAATTAGGTAGCAGTATATTTCACAACATATGCATCCAATCATTATTACAGAATATCATCCCAAAACTAAATTGATATTGGGTCTCAAAACTTAGAAAAACGGTTATTTGAAGCAGAGGGAACAAATCCAATAAAAGTATGTTAGAAGCAGGATCAAACTTGAGGAGGTTGAAAAGAAACTTCCAGCTTCCTCAAATCTCTATGTTGTTCAGAAGACATCCTATATGTTTGTACTACAGCACCCGCTCAGCAACACAGGTTTTGGCTACCCTGGCAGCATGTGGTATTCTTCCCTCTTTGGCTCATTAGGTTCAGACAATCAACTTGGAAAAAGAGCAGACACATCCCTTAAAGCTCCGCTGGCAACCCACAAAGCACCCAGTTAAGGTATCGAAATGAGAAATAAACTGAATGAGGTTTTCGTAATGTAGTTACCCTGCTTCTTGCAAAGCCTAATAAAATGAAAACTCATTTTGGCACTTCAGTCATTTCAAATTATCACAGTAGTGACTTCCCTATGACTATGCTCTAAAATGGACTGAAAAGAAACAAGTCTTCATTTTTCCCCAAAGCCACAGGGCTATCTATAAAGCTCCTCAAATGCTAGTGTGGTTTCAATTTGGTTTCTTTTTTCTGTTCTCACCCCACACCCTCCTTTCAAACAGATTTTCAAACTTTATTCTGTCCCCTTCTAAAATACAGCTATTCATGTCTGACCAAGATCTAAAAAAGTTCACTGTCAAGGTACATTCTAAAGAGTGCTTACAGTGGGTTTTTTTACTTATTATTATTAATCATGAGGTTGTTCCTGGTGACTTCCACTGCTGCCAGATAAACTTTTGAACAAAAATTACTTTTGCATTTAAAGTTTTCTGGTTTGCACAATGGAAGCATGAAGGCTTTTATGCACATTAGTGGTTGCTAAGAGTTCAGAAACTGGCAGCATCTGACATGAATTTTTTTCTGCTTCAGCTACATTTACATCTATTCCACAATACTCTGCCCTGCTCTTGCTGGATTTTTAAAAAGGTAAACTAGAAAACAATGAAAGTTCTGAAGCAGTTAGGTAGCAATGTGTGAAGTATAACCAAAACAGCAGCAACAAAAAAGAACTAATAATTAAGCCCCCACGTTAAGAGGTATTTGCTTTCCTTCCTTCCCACTGTAATCACAGCCACCTTGTAAGACAAAGTCTATGATCAACAGCATCCTCATCCCTTCTTGAAAACACCAGAACTTCCCTGGAGTTTATATCCAGAAAACTCCACTACTGAAAGTATTTTGATATAGGTTGATGATGCAGAGAAATTAAAATTTAAAAAAATAAAAAAGAAAGAAAAAAAAGAGGTGAAACCAGGACTGAAAAGTGTGTTCTAGGGACGTATAAAATCCATAGCAAGAAAGGCACAAGGAAACAGTAATAGAGTTGTACCTATCTATCTGATACAGAGCTTCACTTTTCTCCCCCTGCCCTTTTTGAATTATAGCCATGTATAGCGACTCACTGTTCCACAACTCTTTTGCATGCCTTTTATCACGATTCAGCATTAACATTCTTTTAGAAGAGATTAATAATGTATGTGCAATAATGTATTTTAACTACTTGAATACTAAAAAAAAAAAAGTCTTTTTTTTTTTTATTCTTTACTGAAAATAGAACAAGATGAAATCCATGAGGAGAAGTGATGGGGAGTCTACAAACTACTGTGAAGCAGGCCAATTTGACACACAGTTTACAAGAATTACATTAGTTTACTAATGTTCCAATATTAAATTAACCTTATAATTACAAGTACTGAAGGTCTGCATTTATGATACAGAACATTCCAGTGTTAATAATTCTGATATCAATTGTAGTAATGTGAAAATTTTGTTTAATGTAATCGCTCAAACAGCAAACTAACTACATTAATCTCAATTCACCCACCAAATTTGATCCCCATGTGGTTTATACCCCCCTTCCACCCACACACTGAAAGACAACCGCCCCCCCATCTGAGCCATACCCGTGTATAATACACAAAACATAACTGATACAAAAACTCACTTTCACTGGACAACATCTAAAATATGTAAATACCTGTTCCTGCAGGTCGTAGTCATAGCTATCATGCAGCAGAAGACTGAGGACATACCGAGTATAAATCATGGCATCAATGCCACACTTCTCTAGCTCTTGTCCCAGCCAGGTCTGCACTGGACCCAAAGCATGTAGCAGAGACATTTCAGAAACAGATACAGGGCCTGGATAAGAGCTTGAGGAGCTTTCAGATGGCAAACCATCCACAACAACTGTACAGATAGGGCGCATGAATCTAGGTGGTTGGCATCCTTATACGTGAAGCATTTTCTGTAGTTGATATTCCGTCGATATCTGGAGGTGATTTTCACTCCAGTAAATAGGAGGGAGGCTTGACTTCTAGGACAATCATTTATATTTCCTGGCAGTTAGCCGTCTAGGGATGAACATCACTCTTCAGGCATGACCAGTGAATAAACTAAATCCTAATAGCAAACACATATGTAGATGTGTTTTTCTACCTTAATTTCACATTGAGGCCAGATGCAAGTCCCCAGCAGGACCTATAAAGAGGAAAAAATGATAAGTTGTGATAATATGTATCCATACATGAATAATATTAAACAGTGAAAAAAACACCCAATGTAGAAAGCAGTCATTTACATACTGCTTAATCCACATATATAGTACACCTATTCAGTGTCATTTTGAAGAGTAACAGGAATTATTCCAAGTTTAAAGGTGACTTTTAGAAAAGGTACTTTTTAATGCAGGAAGAGAGACTCTTTCATCAAAGACTTCACAACTAATCCGTTGATTGAAATATATGTTTGACCTAGCTTTACGGGAAAGTTGAGATCTTATTATTTTCACTATCAGCTGAAAAAAAACCACTTTGATTAAAAAAAAAATCTATGTTAGTTTGCATAAAGACTGACTGTATATTTTGCATCACTAGAAGACAATATAATCCTACTGGTTTGCAGTGATTTCCCTTTCTGGAAAAGAAAAAAAGTGCCTTGTTTATAAAACACTGAATTTATGAAATTCATCTGGCCAGGAGTTTCATAAATCCTACCACTAAATAGTTGCTATCTTCAGACTTTGGGTTTTGGGGTTTTTTTTTTTTAGTTTCAATATTTGCCTTGCCTCAGGACAGCAAAGCATTTTATCATCCAAAATCTATCCTCATAAAAATATAAATCTCTGGAATAACTTAAAAAATTTGAGCAAAACATAATTTATCAGTGCCAGAATTAACATTTAACCCTCTTTACAGAAAGCATACGCCAGTCTTACCTGAGAGCTTACACTCTAAACCATATAAGACAAACCACCCTAAGGCTTATACCACCCACAATCCCAAATCAATATCGATAAGCAAGAGGCAGGAGGTGCAAGCACCACACACATAGGCATTTTGCCCTCTAACCCAGAAGAAGCCAGTCCAAAAAAGGCATTTTTGGACTGATATGCCGATCAACCACATGCCAATCTGGCATTTGTGTAGGCCTTCTCTCTCCTCTCCAGTTTCTCATCAACAGAAAACAAAGCTCAAATCCTAGCAGGAAAGATCCATTCACTGAAAGGAAACAAAGACTAAAGGATCTAAGCAAAATCTACTGGTTTGTTTCAACCCCACTGCAAGATGACCAACATACTCAAAACAGACGTCACCTAATATAACTATTTCAACTATATACTGTATGCAGCATTTTGCATGGGCAGCATGTGTTGTGTGGCGAAACAAAGTTGAAAGGTTACAGTTGATACCTATGTCCACACAACAAAAGATTGTAGTTTTTAGGAGCTTTCTTTGCATCACCACCCAGGTACAACTGTATTTTCCAGATCTTTACTGAGTCAATTGCGACATCGTCAAAAAGAAACCTGTTATAATCAGTTGCTACAGAGCTGACAAAACTCTGCTCTACACTACACTTACTTCTCTGATGGCAATGTTCATTTTGAGAAAGTAGCACAAGAGTATTCAGTCTTTGCCAGTAACAGGTTTGTATTAGACAGAATCTCTTAAGTAAGCACAAATAACAGTAGGTAGAAACATCCTGCAAAGGGCCTGGAGGTTACTGCTTCATCACGTAATTAGAGAACAGAAACTATGAGAAAAGTCTAATATTGTAACGAAGATACTCCAAATCGAGAGCCACAAGTCCAAACTCTTATGCAGTCTATATTCTTAATTGTTGAAGAACAACATTCCACTCAAACATCTATTTTGTCCTTCTCCTGTTGGTACTCCACATCACAGCATGTGATGAACACTCTCCCTAAGTCAATGCCACAATCCCAGTCAGCCCCCTAAACCCCATGTTTCAAAGATCTCGGAACACTGACACTCGATTTGTCTTTTTTGAGACACAGAGCAGAACTACCTGAATGTTCAGGAAATCAACAACTTTGACAGAGTTGACAAAGTTACACTGGAAAGGGGAATTATGAAAGGGTGAATGGAGAGGAAAATTGGGGGGGAAAAAGTGAGAAAGTGACCAAACGAGAAATTAGTTTATTCTAATTCAGCAGGTCTCCCATAATCTTTTCTTTTACTAAGTGTACAGAGAATGGAGAGGGACAGCAACCACACATTCCAAGTAGTCTTTGGTTTGCAAAGATACCATCAAAAACAGTCAAGAGAGGTTGGACGGAGAGCGCTTGGTTAAGGTGATCACATTTTTCATTGAAGGTTTTGAGTATCCAATATAGCAAAGCAATGGGCTTCTGGAAATTGAGTTACTTCAATCAAAAGTGACTGCATCAGCAGACAACAGAAGAGCTATAGATGTCACCTACCTAAACTTCTGTAAGGCCTTTAACACAGTCCCACACAGCATCCTTGCCGCTAAATTGCAGAGATATGGATTTGATGGATGTACTATTAGATGGATAAGGAATTGGCTGGATGGCCATGTCCAAAGAGTTACAGTCAATGGCTCAATGTCCAAGTGGAAACCAGTAATGAGTGGTGTCACTCTAAGGTCCATACTAGGACCAACACCATTTAATACCTTCATCAATGACATAGTGGGATTGAGCGCACCCTCCGCAAGTTCGCAGGTGACACCAAGCTGAGTGGTGCAATGGATTTGCACCCTTGAGGGAAGGGTTGTCATCCAGAGGGACCTTGACAGGCTTGAGGAGTGGGCCCATGTGAACCTCATTAAGTTCAACAAGGCCAAGTGCAAGGTTCCTGCACATGGGTCAAAGCAATCCCCAGTATCAATTCAGATCGGAGGATGAATGGATTGAGAGCAGCCTGGCAGAGAAGGACTTGGGGATACTGGTAGATGAAAAATTGGACATGAGCCAGAGCTTGCAGCCCAGAAAGCCAATCGCATCCTGGGCTGCACAAAAAGAAGCGTGGCCAGCAGGTCAAGGGAGGAGATTCTCCCCCTCTACTCCACTCTCGTGAGATCCTACCTGGAGTACTGCATCCAGCTCTGGGGTCCCCAGTAGAAGACAGACATGGACCTGTTACAGCGAATTCAGAGGAGGGCCACAAAAATCATCACAGGGATGGAATACCTCTCCTATGAAGAAAGGTTGAGAGAGCTGGGGTTGTTCAGCCTGGAGAAGAGAAGGCTTCGGGGATAGTTTATTGCAGCCTTTCAATACTTAAAGAGGGCTTATAAGAAAGATGGGGACAGACTTTTTATGAGGGCCTGTAGTGACAGGACAAGGGACAATGGTTTTAAACTGAAAGAGGGTAGATTTAGATTAGATATAAGGAAGACTTTTATTACAATGAAGGTGGTGAGACACTGGAACAGCTTGTCCAGAGAAGTTGTGGATGACCTATTTGAAGTGTTCAAGGTCAGGCTGGACAGGGCTTTGAGCAACCTGATCTAGTGAAAGATGTCCCTGCCCAGAGTAGGGGGGGTTGGACTAGATGATCTTTAAAGGTTCCTTCCAACACAAACCATTCTATGATTCTATGATATAGCAAAGCAAAGGGCTTCTGGATACTGAGTCACTTCAATCAAAACGTAGACACATGGTTTAGATCCTTAGCACCTAGTAAGGACTGAGTTTATGCTTCAGTTTTTCCCTGAATGTGGTGATATGTGGCCTCTCTTTTCTACGTTAATACTTACTTTCATGAGGCATTTGAGAAATTCAGTTCTTGAGATCTAGGCTGACAAAATCTGATTTACTTTGGCTGACCAGTTAAAGCGTGTCTTGGTTTTTTTAGATGGGGAGGAGAGGAGAGAGACAGCAAGAGAGAGACAGGTTATCACAGGAATTAAGAAGCTCTGGAGCCCTCAGCATAAGAAAGACACGGACCTGTTGGAGCGGGTCCAGAAGAGGGCCACGAAAATGATCACGGGGGTGGAACACCTCTGATCAGAAAGGCTGAGAGAGTTGGGGTTGTTCGGCCTAGAGAAGAGAAGGCTTCGGGGAGACCTTATTGCAGCCTATCAGCACTTAAAGGAGGCTTATAAGAAAGACAGCGGCAAACTTTTTAGCAGGGCCTGTTGCGACGGGACAAGGGGGAATGGCTTTAAATTAAAGGGTAGTAGATTGAGACTAGATATAAGGAAGAAATTTTTTACGCTGAGGGTGGTGAAACACTGGCACAGGTTGCCCAGAGAGGTGGTGGATGCTCCATCCCTGGAAACATTCCAGGTCAGGTTGGACGGGGCTCTGAGAAACCTGATCTAGAACCACAGAATCTAGTTGAAGATGTCACTGCGCATGGCGGGGGGTTGGAGTAGATGACCTTTAAAGGTCCCTTCCAACCCAAACTATTCTATGATTCTAAGAAATGAGACAACAACAAAATTTCTATGATGTTCAAATATTATAGTCCACCTTTTTTGAATATCATAGAATCATAAAGGTCAGAAAAGACCTCTAAGATCATCGAGTCCAACCGTCAACCCAACACCACCATGCCCACTAAACCATGTCCCTAAGCGCCTCATCTACCCGTCTTTTAAATACTTCCAGGGATGGTGCCTCACCCACTCCCCGGGCCAGCCTGTTCCAATGTTTAACTACTCTTTCAGTAAAGACATTTTGCCTAACATCCAATCTAAACCTCCCCTGGCACAACTTGAGGCCATTTCCTCTCGT